CTGACGAGAGTGAATATATTATATCGATTCTAAATCTTCTGATTCGTAAAAATAACTCTAACTAAACTTAAAACTTAAAACCTCCCTAACTCGTTTAAATTTGACCGGAGGAAAAAACCTCATTTAACCTTTTTTATGTAAAATTTTAAGCTTGTAGAGCTTAAAATTTTATTAATACTATACTATAATTTTCATTGCTGATAGAACTTTTTTGTCTAATTTTTAACGGTTTCGAGTAACTGTGAAAAGCCACTTTTGACAATTTTTTTTAAACCTTGCCGGGAGTTCCGGACACGAAAAACTTTACACATTAGTTTTGTATCATTAATACTACATTATATCAAAAATGCAAAGGTAAGTGTCAAAATTTTGATTTCAGACCTTACCTCGTATTTGACTGAACTATAACGCTGTAGGTGATGAACCACGCTATCAAGGCCCCAGCAAACAGTCGTTGGGCATCAAGCATAAATCGGGCATCGCGCGTTGTGAGTATCAAATACTAATGAATTTATACTATCCTGGTACACTAAACCACGCGTCTTATGGGCGGACATCTAGCAGCGCTTCAGGAGCATTACTAAATATCTATACCTCACTACACTAAAAGTTTTATCATTGTGACTTCGGAATATAATCCAAAGCTCCGCTCTACCCCTTGGGGAAAATAGCATGATGCTATAAGTATTGTACTAGTGTGACCGTGAGGTGATGGTGGCTAAGTAAGGTTAAACATTTTTTTTTTGGTTGATAAATAGATACTCAGTTGGGTTCATAATTGCTTAAATAGGTCTATCTCTATCTATAGGTCTATATAATCTATCTCTAATTTTACCTTAAGTTTTTGATGTTAAATTATTGAAGTTTTACTGTAACAATATAATACTTACTGGTACAAATAACGTAGGAATGGCTCAACTTAATAAAATTGTTTTTATTCTGCTTTTCCTTTTATATTTCTCAAGAAAAATTTTGCTGCAAGTTGCAGAGTTCTCGCAGTAACGACGTCATATCAGTTACGACGTCTTGCGAATTTACATGTGAAATGTGCCACAAGCAAGATTATTCCTATTATTGACACCACAGTCACTGATGCCATCAGTGACTGTGGTGTCAATTATAAGTAATTTTATACCTAATTTATTAAAATACTTCTAGAAAAATGTCTTCGCGTCAGCTTTCAAATATAATTAAATATATTCGACACTAGATGGCGACACTTTGTATCGTGGGAACTAAAAATAAAGGTACCTAGAGCTCAGTATTGGTAAAATACGAAGGTGCTGAAATTTGTTTTGCATTCAGCCCTAAAGAATTTTTAATCGCCAAAATATTAACTTTATAGTTTTTACTATCATTTTGTGAACAGGCCACCATTATTGTCAAGGTATCTAAACTGCATTGCAACATCGATATGGAACGATGCGAGTAGTTTTGCTATTTATCGGTAAGTGGAAAATATTTAAGTGGGCGGGGCTTAACACCCCCTGACTCCGCAAATTGTCACGCATTATTATATAGTGAAATCTAATTACAACACCTCTTTGTTTTTGCTCCGTGGTCTATGTCAATGTAATCAAAATTAGTCACACGTTTTCGAGCTGTCAGTTCGTCTATGCGCCTGTATATTCTAAGACTTGGAAAAATCTTACACTTTTTATCGCCTAGCCCCCATCCGTCAAATTCGTACCGTGCGATAAGGCACTTCGTTTAAAAAAATCTGCACGGCAGAATGAACAGAAGTTGATCTTAAATTATATGTTTTTATACTATATTTCATTTTATTATGTTGTAGCTATGATTAAAATAATTGAAGTATATCTTTTAACATTAAGAGGCTTAAAATGCTGAACAAAATTTAATCACAAAACATTCAAATAAAAGATTATTTTTTGTTTTATATAAAGTATTAATTATTTAACATCATCATGATTCTGCCATGTGATTGACGCGGACTAGAATATTGGGGAGAATAATAATAGATACATTTTCGTTCTGAAATTGGCTAATGAAGAGCAAGGCAAATTATTGCCTTGATTAGATGATTATTTAACTTTTTTGAAATTAATTATTTTAGATATACAATGAATATGCAATTATGTTAATTATAACAAGGAAGCGTTGCATGCGCATGTAAAGAATATATAGTACTTACATGCTCGAAAATTAATGTGGCAAGTACTATATTTTATTGTGTATTTCTCATACGGCTCTTATTTTTAGTCCGTAAATCGTCCATTTGTCTGATGTCTTGTATTTTCTGAGTATTTTGCAATGTCTTAAATACGAAATTGGTTTACCGTCATTCATCGGAAACCACAAGAGGCATCCTTCTAAAAACTCATGTGATTTACACTGACATATTTGATGGTTTCGTCTTTCAAATTTAGAATCTGAATGAGTAGCAGTGGACGACGATATCTTAGCGTTTGGAGTAAATTTAAATTGATTAGTATGTATTTTTTACTATAAGTTTTAAATTAAATTTTGATACCGATCGTAATTAAAATTGTACTATGATTTAAAGGAGCTAATAGTGAATCAAGGTAATTGTTGAATCCAATATACAGCGATCGGCCATACTCTGTGTAAATTGCTAGGTGGTAAGGCCCCTTTTCTGTCTAGCAGTCATTCTGGGTGTGTACCACCCTCTAACCTGATTCCGACACCAAACAGTAGTGCCTTCAAGCTTGTGTTTTAGTATGTATACTTATGAAGAACCAAGTATAGTTACATGTTAGTTAGTTCTCAGAGGTGATAACGCGTCTGTAGCGTTCCTTATTTGAAATTAGCTACAAGTGCCAATGGACTGCCATATTCACATACTATCGGATGAACTGCAAGTTCGTTTGTCACTACAGTTTGATTAAAAAAATACAAACGAATTTAAAAGAAAACACCTCTATGGTGTGCGCCCTGCCCGTACCCGTTCCGGTAATAGACGGCACTGTGGAGCATCTTAATTTGAGTTGCGGCGCTGCGGGCCGCGGGTTCAAATCCCGCACGGAACATATGATTGCGTGTCCCACAAATAATTGTTCCGGGTCTGGGTGTTTGTCTTTGTGCAATTTATGTATGCAAGCTGCCTTCACAATACAGGAGAAAATTCTAGTGAGGAGATAACGTTTGTAAGGGAACCATGTTGGATTTAGAGTGACGTCTTTTTATTTTCGTATTTTACTCAGCAAACCCTTTCATTTGTACTTGTGTCAACAGCTCCGTGGCACAGTGGCTTAGCAATTGAGTTGCAGCGCTAAGGGCCGAGGGTTCGAATCCCGCACGGAACAACTATTTGTACGGCCTACAAATAATTGCTGCGGGTTTGGTTGTTTGTCCTTGTACAATTTATGTTTGTAAACTGTCCCCACGATACAGAGAAAATATTAGTGTGGAGGTTACGTTTTTAAAAAAATGAAAAATGAAAAAATAAACAAATTAATACCCATACTCGTATAATGGGAGTGCATAGAAAATAATTAGTCTGCCATCTTGGGCGGTCTACCATATTCACTATGCGCCATATTCGCGCCATTAGTCACTTAGCTAACCATGCATTGTCATCCAACAATCCAAAAAAAGGTTTAAAAAAAAAATAATTTCATACTAATCAAAGCGAGACGTTATATTAAATCAACCTTAGATATCATAGCATCATCCACTGAACGTTCCAAAGACCATGCAATATGTATCGTGTAAAAAAACTGTTTATGCATAATTTTGTAAGAATAAGAGAAGGATTAAGTAATACCCATATGATACCCGTGGGTGTCGAAAGAACAACAGAGGGAAACAAATCAGGAGATGTGCAGCAGCGTTTTCCTAGTAACAATAAACTGCGTTAAAGAATACTGCGGTTACCAACCCTAAACGTGGCAACTATAGCAAATATCTCCCCTACGAGGCAATTTCAATTTTGTTAATTATAGGATCCCAAGCAGACGGCAGCACCCATCCATCTTCTCTATTGAAATTAGGATGTTTTTTAATTTCAATAGCATTGCGTATCATCCTTGGTAGGAATCGGTGTTTTTTTGCGAGGATTTGTGGTCTATCAAATCTGATGTAATGGCGGGGACGATCTTGAACACGTTCACAGACTACAAACTTCCCAGAGCATCGATGCTTCACGTCAGCTATAGCTATGTTCTTTCACGCGGGTTTTAATGGATCTTTTTGTTTGTCCTATGTAAGAGAGACCACATTCGCAATCAAGCTTGTACACTCCTCCATCTTATAGAGAGATACAAAACCCAAAATCCAAACCCAAGGATACCACTGCAAGACTTCAAGATACTATAAGTTCATTCTGCGTAGATCGAACCAAAAATTTATATTAAAAAACTGAAGGTAGCCGGGCTAACTTTGACATCAGGACGTCAATCATCTCAGTCCCCTCCGTGACCATGGGTTGCTGTAAAGTACCCGAGACGTCGGGAATTAACATAGTAAATCAAACGCGATTAAATCCGTGCAAAATAGTTTTATTTAATGATAGAAATACTACTCAATAATAATAAATCAATTCCAACTGCTATTTTAAAACGAGGGTACTTTTACAGTGAGTGCAATCCGTGTCACGCAGCGGTGCTCATTAATTTGTTTGAAACAAGCCCACCCGCGGGACCACGTGTAGTGTAGCCAACACGTGGACCTGTCAACCTGTAAAATGCCCCGCATGTAGCGGGCATCCCACACAACGCGCTCTTGAATTTTGAAATAATAGATGCACACATGCGTATTGCCGCACGTGTGTTGCGATTAAAGCAATGGAAGCCTTATAAAACCTTAAAAGTAGAATAAGAAGAAAAAATACTTTTGTAATCTATGGTTAACGCATAAATTGCGGAAAACAAATGTCTGAAAACAAATGTCTTCATTGACATAAGGTCTATATACAGTATTGAAAAGCAGTCAATATTCTGTATTTTAATTTTGAACACAAGATTTACTAATTATATTACCTAATTTTTATTTGATATTTTGCATTAATATTTATTAATATGCCCTTCAAAAAGGTTATGAAAGGTATTCCATTACCAAATTTGCCTGTTGAGGGTATTTTAGAAAATGATAGAGAAGCATTGACTTCGTATCAACAGGAATGTGTAACAAGATTGGGAATGACCATACAGATGGAGCAGGAGGCTTACTTGACTACGCATCCTGAGGTATTTTAAACGCTTTGAGTGTTTTTTATGTACATCTAAATCGTCTTTAATGTCAACAAGTTTAATTAAGTTACATTGGAGCTGGGTATTAAAACGATTTCAAAAAGTAATTAAAAGTTACATCCGCAAACAAGTCCATAAATACCGTACAATGTTTGAAATTTTATCTAGCAAAACTTACTGCATGATCATGCATTTTGCATGATCTAATTTTTAATAAATTTGTAATATTTTCGAAGTTCTTACAACACCGTGATAATTATTTTAAGATTCAAGCGATGTTGACGTCATTTATTGCGAAAATGATACACACGGCAAAAAGAAAGGATATTTTAAAAGAAGCAGCAGAACATTTTACCCGACCTTATGATGTTCTTGATAAAGAAATAAGAGATAAACTCAGATTACCTGCCGACGGATCCTTTAAACAGGTATTATATTATTACCTCAAATAAGTCTGAAATAAGTGTTCACATCAACACTAATCGAGGCAAATAATCTTTTAAGCAGGTATTATATTATTACTTTTTTTTATAGGAATAGAGTGACAAACGAGTCCATCTGATGGTAAGTGATTACTGTGACCCATAGACATCTACATTTATCCTCGTTTGCGAATCAAAATGCAGATGCGTTGTTACCCGTGAGGACTAAGTTAGAATGCCTCTTTTCCAGTAAAAAGGGTCTCCGGTTCTCTACACTTACCATACGAAACACAGCAGTATTAAGCTGCTATTTTACGCTGGTATTCTGTGAGAGCGTGGTCCTTCCCCGGTCGAGCCCACCCATTCGTGTTACAACTACATATAGCTTACAACTTCGTTTTACAACTGTATACCAGAAATATAGCTGCAGCATGGCTCTACCACGTCTGAAAATAAGTCTGAAAAAGTGTTACATCATTAGAAGTCGAGACAAATAATCTTTTGTCGAGTAAGGTACGGTCTAACACAGCATATTTATTTGACATAGGTACGTGCCTTTTTTGACATAGTTACTCTATGTCCTGAATTCACTTTCCATTCTATATCTATCTTTCTCTCTAACACCCCTGCTAAGCTAAGATGAATATTTGAAAAACACAAAGTCATCCACTTCGCAACCAAGTCCCCTTCTATTCTTATTTCGCATATCGTTTTATTTTCTTGACTTTTAAAAACATCGCTTCCGTTTTACTTACTCACTCATTATTCACCCACATTCTTTAATTTACAAAGTTTTCAAACAACTATCCATAAAAATATTGGATATCAAATCAGTCTACGCCGGCCCCGTTGGCCCTAACACAAGTACTAGAATACCTATAAAGACATTATTATGACTATATTAGCCCAGCGCTCAAGAAAAACTAGCCGTGGCTAGTAGTTTGCTATAAAACCAATAAATTTGTTGTGTATAAAGACTATTTCTGCGCAAAAAAATTGGACACGTACTTAACCGACGCCTCGATGTGCGCTCATAAATATACGCAGTTTGAAACGTCAGTCCAGGGAGCGTGCTCAGAAGCCTATGACCGTGTAAAGCCGCTGTTGTGTCCTCACAGCAAGGAATGTTTCATTAAGTTATAGTTAGTTGCCGAAACAGTTTAATTTTATACTGTAACATTTTATACCGTAACACAATTTAAAACAGTCGCTTATATAATCGTAATATCCCAGACATAAGAAAAACGTCTCAAACCATACGAAAATCAGATACGTCTAGTTTTGTGACCATCAATCTAAAAAGGAAGATGAACTCATCATCGTTAGCACCATCATCATCATTACAGCCCATCACGTCCAATGCTGAACAAAGGCCCCACCTAAGGAATGTCACAAAGAACGGTCCTGAGCCGCTTGCATCCACTGTCTCTATCTAGCAGGGGATCACCACTGACTTCTATATATATGTATACAAGTACGCTAGACTGGCTATACCATATAAAATGTTTGTGCCGATTTGAAGCGCCGCCATTGTTCGTACCGGAAACTAAAACTGTATTTTAAACTTTTAAACAAAATAAATGAAAGTATTTTCTGTAGTTTGAATATGTTTGATTTTAGTTATATTATAAGCATTATTTTTACTAATATTGAGACGTAATATTGAGAAAATATTACGTCAAAAAAACAACCAAAGTCGCCGACAGCAGATAATTATCAAATATTACTGTTGTTATTGATTCACAAACTAGAGATATATACCAATTATTAGCGGAGTAGCCAATACTGATAATCCTAGTAATGGCTACTCCACGTTTGTGTTGGAATAACGCAAACGAAGTTATCTGACAGTGAAAGAGTAAAATTATTCGAAGGTTAGTTACTCTGGTATAACATGCTATTTCTTCGAATCCAGCCTTAATACTCGTACCATATTTTATTACACTGTTATTTAACCCATGTATCGCGGTTCCTTGAACGATGCTTGGGTGCGAGATAATGCTTTAGTGTGTGATGCTACTTGCGAAGATACTTTGGCAGCCTCTCATCTTCATATCCCAAGAGTACCCTATTTAAAGCAAGGGCGGCATCAGAGGCACTGAACTAAGTGAATAGCCCAAGTATGAGTCTCTGAGAGATGAGTACATATTTTTGCCATTTGCTGTAGAGACTATCGGTCCGTGGGGTTTATGTGCGGTGATGTTACTAAAAAAACTATCCGCAACTAATCGTCGCTGCTGGTGATAAGAGGGCTGCTTATTTTCTCGCTCAAAGAGGAAACGCAGTCAGCGTTCTTGGCACTATACCACTGGGCGTAGGACTGTATGCTAATTTGTTTTTAGTTTTTTTTTTATTAGAGTTTTTTAATATTGTAATTTATGAAGTTGTTAATACCTGATACACTATGTAATTTTAATTTTATATCTTTTTAATATTTTGCTAGACCATCTAGCCGGCGCATTACTGCCGCAAAATAAATAATTGTAGAAATATCGTTTTGAATTTGGACGAGCTATTATTCTTTAATTAGGAACGATAATACAATCATTGAAATTGAAAGATCTATAACTTTCAAATAAAATGTCAGTAAGATACGCGCGCCACCTAGTGTAAGTTAATTGTACTATGCCTATAACTTTCGCGTAAGACAAGGTTTTACCGCAATCTGATGAAGGGTATGGCAGAGCATGAAATACGAACGTAAATACGAAACATTATTTTTTTATATATTAGAACATATAGTTTAATCTGTCTTTAGACAGACCTGTAAATAATTAGAATGGTGTTATTTTAGCAGCTTATTTGTTTTCTATAACACTAGAAATGAATGAACGGTTGACAACAAATTCTTTGCAAAATTATTTTTTATTTTTTATTTTGTGTGGTTACATACACTAGTTGAATATTTTCCAGTACTAGAATATATAAGCCTAGCGAATGAACCAACATGCCCAATGTTGAAACTCGGAGCAAAATCAGTTCTGTAGTTACGAATAAAAACGTAGATAGACCAACGCAGAGTCGATCTTGGTTTTATATGAATACCTCATCAAAGCTTGTATTTAAGGCCTAGATATTAATTGATACATTTATTTATTGTTTAGCATTATATTAATATGATGATACATAAGAAACAAAAAATACGTAGGCCTGGATATATAATTTTATCGATATATTTTATCACACTGTCTTATCTAGCGTCATTGCCAAAGCACATCGGCAGAATTGGCGAGAAGCTAGTTCGCCTTCCTTCGGGAACCCGTGCATTCTGGTCTCTCGCCAAGGCTGTCCAAGGGAACTTCTGTCAGCCATCTCTTCCATCTCTGCACAGGGAGGACGACTCATTGGCCCATTCCGCAAAGGAGAAAGCCGATCTGTTGAGCTCTCTTTTTGCGTCCATCTCGACTCTAGATGACGGGGGAAATACACCGCCGACCATCCCGCGATGTGAGTGCTCCATGCCGGATGTGCGGTTTACACAGCGCTCGGTTCGCAAAGCACTCTTATCCCTGGACGTCAGCAAGTCGAGTGGGCCCGATGGAGTCCCTCCCATTGTGCTGAAGACGTGTGCTCTGGAGTTGGCACCGGTTTTAACGCGTCTTTTCCGGTACTCCTACTCCCAAGGCGTAGTCCCGAATTCATGGAAGACAGCTTTGGTCCACCCGATCCCTAAAAAAGGAGACCGCTCAGACCCGTCCAACTACAGGCCTATTGCCATCACCTCCTTGTTCTCCAAAATAATGGAATCCATTATAAACTGCCAGCTCATGAGGTACCTTGAGCATCACCAGCTGATTAGTGACCGCCAGTACGGTTTTCGTCGAGGTCGATCAGCTGGTGACCTTCTAGTCTATCTGACTCATAGATGGGCGGAGGCAGTAGAGTCCAAGGGGGAGGCATTGGCCGTTAGTTAGCGAAGGCCTTCGATGGGGTCTGGCACAAAGCGCTTCTTTCGAAGCTTCCTTCCTATGGGCTTCCCGAGAAATTGTGCAAATGGATCACCAGTTTCCTTGCTGATTGGAGTATCAAGGTCGTAGTAGACGGTGCATGCTCTGATTTCAAGCCTATTAACGCTGGTAATACACAAGGCTGCGTGCTATCACCAACGCTGTTTCTCCTGCATATCAATGATATGTTGCTAACTGGTAGCATTCATTGCTATGCGAACGACAGCACTGGTGATGCCTTATATACCGGCCGTACCAATTTTTCTCGGGAAAACGTCGCTGAGTACCGGGACAAACTTGTGTCTGAAGTCGAGTCTTTGCTTAACAAAGTCTCGGATTGGGGCCGACTAAATCTAGTCCAGTTCAATCCCCAGAAGACACAAGTTTGCGCGTTTACCGCTAAAAAGAACCCCTTTGTCGTATCTCCTCAGTTTCAAGGCACTCCCCTTGCTGCCTCAGCTAGTATCGGAATCCTTGGCGTTGACATATTGAATAGTGTGCAGTTTCGTGGTCCCTTGGAAGGGAAGGCCAAATAGGCCTCTAAAAAGCTTGGCGTGCTCAGCAGAGCGAGACAGTATTTCATGCCGGCACATCGCTTGCAACTTTACAAAGCGCAAGTTCGGCCCCACATGGAATACTGTTCTCATCTCTGGGCCGGGGCACCCCAGTGCCAGCTCCTTCCACTTGACCGCATCCAGCGCAGAGCGGTTCGAATCGTCGACGACCGAGTTCTTTCTGATCGGTTCGATACACTGGCACTGCGTAGAGATGTGGCATCTCTTTGTGTATTTTATCGCATCTGTCACGGGGAGTGCTCTGAGGAATTGTTCGGACTAATTCCAGCCGCTCAATTTCACCATCGCACATTGCGAAAAAACTTGCGTTACCATCCATACCATCTGGATGATTGGCGGTCCAGCACTGTGCGATTTAGAAGAAGTTTTCTACCTCGCACAACTTCCTTGTGGAATCAATTACCACCAGCGAATTTCCCGGACCGATACGACTTAGGAACCTTCAAGAAAAGAGCTTACATCTTTCTAAAAGGCCGGCAACGCATCTGCAATTCCCCTGGTTTTGCAGTTGTTCATGGGCGGCGGTAGTCACTTACCATCAGGTGAGCCGCATGCTCGTTTGCCCCCTCTTCTATAAAAAAAAAAAACTCTATTATTAGTTCCGTGGACGCTCACTTCTGCTGTCAGCGCCAAAATGGCGAAAATCAAATCGCCTCGTTGTGTCACGGTGTATAGCCAGTCCATATATAGAGGTCAGTAGATATCACCCTACACTACGCTAGTAATTCCACTGACTACAAAAAGACAGTCTTGCAGTTTAAAAATCAGCCCTTAAAAATACAAAGCTTAATGAATTATCGCTTTATATGTTGTGTATTTAAAGGTTACTTAAATTTATGCCTAATGCAGTTTTTAAAAAGGATGGCTATTTTATAAAAAGATGCAGCTGATTTTATAAGAAAATATTTTATGAGGAAAACATTGCGTCTTTAATTTATCTCTGTTGAGATATCCTTACCTAAAATTTATAATTAAATTATATTAAAACACTTTATATATAATAGTATGACAAATTATATAATATCTAATTTTCTTTTAAAGTTATTTTGGAATCATTTCAGAAATACAAGGCAAAATTTGAGGATAAAAAACTTGAATTAATGAAAGATTTCGATGAAATCTGTTCCAAACATAATTATCCAAAAGCAATGAATATTTTCGCTTCAAATTCTAGCAGTACTTCGAATACTTTATCTTCATCTTTTGTATCAATTGTTACATCGGACACTACACTTCCAACTCCAGGTAATGATGACAATAAAGAATTTAAATAAATTTTACCCTAATAAATAAAAACTATACTATTATTTAAAGTACCTAGAATATGTGTGACCAATGACTATAACGCTAAATTTGTAAGGTTGGACACCTTCATGAATCTATATGACAAATTTGTATCTGATGAAAGTATTGTCTATAAATTATGACTTTTAGTTTAGAATAGCACAAAATTTTTCACAGCCTACATTTTACAATTATAAGTATGCATAATTTTATAACTTTAAATGGCAAATTTTACTAAAATCTTCAAGGCAAATATAAATTTAACGGACCCAAACGTATTATTGAGCTGCGTTTTATATGGGATACTATACGGCTTAACTACGGGACTATTTAGCGAATGATAACAATGAAAGAATACTATTAGTATTTGCCCTGCCGGCTGCCCCTAGAATATGAGACGATTGGTAATTTTAATAATTTTTGCTTTTTATTGCCTTATAACTTTTTTAGTTTGCTTTTATAACTTTTTAAGAGTTAGAGGGTAGGCGCAGGGTATTTGGAATAGTCATCTTGGATCATAAAATATTTTATTATCAAATGAAATAGGTATGTAATTATCGTGAAATGACAACAGGAACGTGAACTCACCACTCATTATATTATAGAAAAGTCGACAAAGAGATAATTAAATCAGCTAAGCAAATTATAGAATCAACATCTCAAAAATGTTAACTTTACCATAACGTATATGATGAAACAAATTTCATTTATAAGTTAGAGAATTAATACATTAATCAAAATAATTGCCGTCAATGCTATAATTATTAAGAGAAATGTAGCATTGACGACAAATTATTTCAAATGAACTACAAACACATGGCCGGTAAATCGTATATTGCTTATTATTAATTCTCTTTATACACAATTAATGTGATATTGGAGCCTTCCTTGAAAATGAAAAATGATAACTACAGAATTTGTCTTTTACTAGAACCTGTGCCAACACCAGAACCCACACTATCGGAGAACATGTTAACGCTTGTATATAATACAGTTGATAAAGCAGTATTCCAACATGTTGATGATGATGCATTACGTTATGATACCGCTTATGTAGAACTGTCTAAAGCAGTGGAAACGGCAATGGAAATTCCAGTTGTAGAAATTAAAGAAGATATCGCCGAACTTTTTTACAATGCTTATAGGTTGTTTGAGATTGATATAATGGCGAAAGAAAGAATCGGTGAGTATTACTATCATTTTTAAACTTCGAAAAATTTTGTAAAAACATGCCTAATCATGCCTGATTATTTTAACATATTCTTTGAAACGGTCTTTTAATTATTCATCATAATAAATGTGTACGTAGATAACAAACACTGAGTGCATTAACCGTAGGAACCGGAATTAAAAAAGAAGGTACATCATTGAACATGTATTTCCGTTAATTAAAATGAAATTATATTAGGTTTTTTATGTTTTTTTTAAATTTGAAACGCTATGATTAAAGAATGTAATTGATCCAAATAATTGGTTAATTTGTTTAGTCAATTTCGTTTTTCGGTGCAATCTCCAACTCGGAAAATTGATTTTAAATTTGCTGTGTGCATTTTTTTTGAACGAAGGGGCTTGGCGAGAATAAGTGCAAGATTTTTCCGTCACGATCCCCTTTCTATAGTGCGAGCGAGATGAAATAATATCAAATGGAATAATTTTCTTATTTTGCCATGAAAGAAATATTATTTTAAATGACGGTTAATTTTAATAGACGCTAGTAATTCATTTATTGGTATTTTTTAACCAATACTTTTATCAATAATAATCTACTACGAAAGGAACTTCGTTCCAACCAAGTGTTCCACGACACTCACGCATGTTTTTTTAAAAATAAAACCTAAAGTTTACTTTAATAAAAATTGCTTCCTTCATTGTCTACGCCAAAGCCGTTCAACTCTCTTTCTATTCACATTTGTACATTCTCAAATATATCGTAACTGTTGTGTGTGATATGCGCACAAAGGAATAAATACTTCACTCTATTTTAACTCGTGTCGTAAAAAAAAACATATCTTTGCTGCAATAGACCGCTGTATATACATCTTGTTTTCACCAAAGCATCGTCAAAGTGTAACGCGTAACTGAATTACTTGCTGCCCCGAGGCTGAAAAGGCCCTTTTAAACTCATATCAATTTGCCTCGTCGTCATCAAAAGAATAAGTTAAAATTTGTAAAACTGCACTATAAACTATTCTTCTCAATTAAAAATGTAATCATCAGTAAATCTGAATTTGCATTTGACCGGCTATAATGTCCCTACAACCGATGGGAACGAAAGGTTTTTGAGTAGCATCCTAGTCCGGTAAGCGATGTGTAGGAAGACCATTCTATGACGACCCGGTACAATATGCAGGAAATTAGGTAGATATGTAGGTAGCCCAGGACCGTGCTTTTGATTTCTATTACATAAAAAGAACAATCTTGTGAAGAAAACAATATTATACTTGGGTTTATTAGATTCATTTACTACTAAAACTAGATGTAGCCGATTGCCAGTGCGTTAAGGTGCTGCAAGGATAATCAGAATAATCGAATCACTATTATAATATTATATTATATCGTAAGATAATCAGAAAAAACTAATCATTTCCAAAATCCTAGAACAATTACAGAGAATTTGATGTCTATAATCTAAGACAGATATTCGTAAGCACATGAGGGTCGATGTACGATTGACTATATTATATAAATATTCATAGTAATTAATTCCTTGTTTTTCTGTCAGATCGAATATGCACAGGCATATACCATTATAACGATATACCATTTAATGTAACATTCGTCGTGCATTTACAGCCTATTAAAAGTCCACAGTTGAATGTAATGAAATTATGTATTTATGAAATAGAATGCCGAGGGTATTTGCCTTGTTGTAATAGTTGGGTTAGTAACCGCATTTTTTATTATTTTTAGTGTTATTATGAAGATGTTGCTGCCACCTTGTGTTTCAGTTTCCGTCAGTCGCGTCTTACGGCACCCACAGGATGATACGGGACAGTTAATTCTATTGCGTCGCTACTTTAAGAGGATTTTTTTCTTATTATATTCGTGATGACGATTCATATCACCATTCACAAAGCACCAGCATCATGCGACACGTCTCATAATATATGCAATGACTATGGAGCCTATTTGTCCTATCCAATATTCGTCACTTACTTCATCCACGAGACAAAATCGTTTGGTGTTTTTTTTAATAATAATGACGCCACGAGTGCAGTGGCTTAGCAATAAGTTGCAGCACTGGGGGAGGTGGGTTCTTATCCCACACGGAACAAGTATTTGTGTGACCTGTGTGGTCTGGATGTTTGTACTTCTGTAAATTATATTTGTAATATGCCTCCACGATACAGGAGAAATTCTAGTGTGGATTTCGTTTAAAGAAAATAAAAAAGTTGGAAAATCAATTTGCAAGTTCTCGATGCTCATGTTAAAAATATATATGTTTCGAGTACATGATAGTTATAAAGTTTTCAACCTGTCCTGTTAGTGGAACTAAAATATTCGTAGTCGCAGTGCAATTCTTGTAAAAAGTTTTTTCTCACTTAAAAGAGATTTACAACGATGCAATGCATATTTCTACTTCTTGTTACTTTTCCTACTTTTGTATTCACCTTAACTAAGGATCTCAGTTTTCTTTTGAATTTCATTTGAATTTAATACAAAATAAAATAAAAACATCTTGACACTCTTCGCTGTTGATTCAGCTAACAAGATGTAAAAGTTAAAAACGGATCTATGTTTTTTATACGCTATTCCATATAGTATTTTGAAGTATATATATTTTATTTGTTTGTACAAATAAGAACAATTATTACCCATATTTATCGGCTTACAAAACATGATTCGGGAATTATATAGATAGGAGGCAAAAAGGATAGTATATTATGTAGATATTACATGATATAGATAGATATATAATAATAATATTTTAGGTACGTTACTTACATACTCCATTAAACATCTACGTGTACACGATCAGTTCTCTGTGGGTGTTTTAACACCCCTTTGTACTAAGAACTATGCTAATACGAGGATAGAATTTTATTTAGTTATTATTATTATATATGCAACGAGAGAATATAATAATAATAATTGAAACATAAATATCAGCTTCTTCATCATCAGCTCGCAAAAGTTCACTGCGTCCACAAAAGGGAAATACGAAAGATATAGGTAGTCCTCAATGTCTTTGCAGGCTGAGGTAGCAATGGGCTGGTTACATAATTATAACCGTTGCAGCAGGGCTAGCATGGGCAGGAGTCAATTTTGTCGCCGGGGAAAGGAGAAAAGTTTATCCCCTCGCTTAGTTTTATCCACATTTTGAACATGGGCACACCGGTGGATATAATATCTACAGTAGATTAAATGAGAGATAGACTTAGACAGATTTTTATCTATTATATTTTATAGTTCTATATAAATATATTATATATATTTATATAGAAAAATAAAAATGTCATTATCATCATCATTACAGCCCTTCACAATTTCACTGCTGAACATAGGCCAAGGAATGCAACAAAGCACGGTTCTGAGACACCTGTATCCATCGACTTCATGTATGTCTTACCACGTCGTCACTCCATCTAGTGGGGGTCACCTTACAACACGTCTACCGGTACAAGGCTGCCACTCGAGAACCTTTCTTTCCCATCAGTTGTCGGTTCTTCGAGTTATTGCCACTTCAGCTTACTAATTCGTTGGGCTATGTTAGTCACTTTGGTTCAACTACGTATATGCTCATTGCTAAGTTTATCACACAGAGAAACTACGAGAATAGTTCTCTCCATAGCTCGCTAGGCAACCTTGAGATTCCTCTTACGGCTAGCAGTGAAGGACCACGTCTCCGATCTATAAGTCGTCACTGGCAACACGCACTGGTTGTACAATCTCGTTTTTAAGTTTTGAGGTATATCTGACTAGAAGATGTGTCGTAATTTCTTGAACGCTGCCCCGCCGAGTGATCCATCGATTGACTTCTTGGTCGAAGTTGGACTTACCTAGTCGGACGTTTTGTCCCAAGTAAACATACTCGTCGACAACTTCGAGCTTAGTGCTTCCAACAACTACAAGCATACGTGTGAGATGGACGTTACACATGATCTTTGTTATGTCCATGTTCATTTTAAGATCTATCCGTTGGGAGGCACTATTGAGGTCATTGACCATAGTTGCTTAGGTCCTCCAGTGATTCTGCCTAAGGACTATATCGTCGGCAAATTGAAAGTGAGTGATTTACTCGCCATTGATGTTAATACCGTATCCTTTCCAGTCCTACTGTACAGGAAAGGATACGGTACTGAATTCCTACTGTATTGGAAGATACATTCAAGCTATTGCTTGAATACATCTTCCAATAGAGCGGTGAAGAGTTTTGGGGATTTAACTTCACGCTGTCTTACACCTCTATGCAATTGGATAGGCTACGTACTCTGATTTTGTACTCAGATAGTCATCGTAGCCCTACTGTACAAACACTTCAGCTCTTCATTATACCGACAGTCTACTTGGCACCGCTAAAGGGAATATAGCATTTTGTAACTCTAGCTGAAAGTTTTTGAAAGGCTTTACATTTTGTGATTTTAATATTTATGTTTTTTTGAATGTGATTGATTTTTTGAAACTTGGTAAAATTATTTTTTCCATACCAATTGATGGGCCTGAGTATAATGCCATTTATGCTCTTTGGCTGAAGTTATTTTTTATTTTATGCTCAATTGCAGACAAAACAATATTGATTGCGCATTTCTAAAACAAAATTTTACCTCTTCTCCTTCTAATAATAACTCCTGCACCTAACACGGCGGAGTAGTTATTATTATCTATAAGACCATTTGCGGAAACAGTTTTTGTTAACAGTTATGAGTGTAACATTTTATCAGCTGCTTTGTATATATTGCCTTGAGCAACACTTTGCCGGTTTCTGTACAGAAAATGATGCTGGCTTTGCAAATATGGATGGCCGCTACCATTGAATATAATACCCGCTATGTTACACTTATTTACATAGAAACTTTAAATATCATTTGCATAAAATTCTAAATAGCACTTTTTACACAAGAAAGTAAACTTTTAGATCAGTCCATCTTGTTTTTCACTAATTAAGTAAAAAGTAAAACAAACCAATAGGGCCGTGATTTAAGTTTTCTTGCAACTTTTTATAGAAAAGCATGACCTTATCATAATATAAAAGTCAATCATTTAGCCATGTGATAAAACTTTTAAGTGTGCCAGTCAAACATTAATGGTGATATTCGGGTATATATTTTGTATTACAATTGATAATCTTCAGTATGATTGACTGTGTATAAGACTTTTATAATTCTATGTTATTTTTAATGATAATTATTATTGCAGATAAAAGCCCTTTCACATTTATTTTAGTCTCGAATTAAATTAATCAAAATGAAAATAATAACTTTGGCTCTTTATAACTGATCTTTAAATGTAAAACACTGACTTGAAATTATATAATTATTGGCATTTTTTTAATTCATTGAACTTTTTTAAGATTTTGTTGAAACTCTACTGGTAAAAATAAAACAAATATATATATTATAGTTCTTGATGAAAATAATGTATGCGCGTTACATCGCATCCCATCAAGAATTTCTAATGTAATTCTTGGTGTAAAGCTAAGACGTGATAATAACTGTAAACAATAGAATAACAAAATAATGAAAACATTTGTAAATACTTGCTTTATAACCTAATAAATATTATTAGACCGTAATAAAATAAAACAAGGTAGTCTTCGGCGTGAAAGTAAAAATAAATATTTTCGATTATTTTTGCAATATTTAACAGCCGGATCAGTGCGCGATTCTGATCCATCTAAAGATGCTAAATTTCAGCAAGCACTGTCAAATTCAATAGGAGTGACAGAAAAAAACGGTTCTGATATAGAAGGGTAAATAAATTATTTAACCTATAAAGTAAAATCACTTTATTAAAAATCAAAATAGCCAATAGCTTTATTAACATGAGACACATAATTGTATGAGTGCTTACAATACTTAACATAATTTTACTGCAATCTCAGAAAGTTTTTTTTAATAGAATAAGGGTGACAAACAAGCACACAGTCCACCTGATGGTAAGTGGTTGCTACGGCCCATAGACATCTACATCTATTCTCGATTACGTATCAAAATGTAGATGCGTTGTCACCCGTGAGGACTAAGATGTAATGCCTTGTTTCCAGTAAAAAGGTTCTCCGGTTCTCTACACTCACCATACGAAACACAGCAGGGTTAAACTGCTATTTTACATGGTATTCTGTGAGAGCGTGGGCCTTTCCCGGTCGAGCCGACCCATTCGTGCTACAACTATATCTACTACTAATATAGCTGCAGCATGGCTCTACCACGTAAGAAAAAATTGACGTTAAAAATTTAAGTATTTTCAGTAACTTTGCAATTATTTTCTATTGAGTGAATTTTTGTTGAATCGTGTTTTACAAACCGCCACCTGAAATACGTACAATTTTTTTTCGATAACGACGTGTAATTACAAAACGATCCCCATGCATATCAATGTGGCTTTATTCAGCCTCTTAATATGCACATACCTCGGGATTGAGAGATTTTAAAAGATTTTAATGCGTAGATAATGGAAGATATAATATTATATTATTACTGTCCCGTCTGAGGCAACCTTTATACTTATATACATATTCTCATTATGTATTTATAGATGGTGAATTGCACTGACATAACAAAAACCTATTCACTATTGCCTAATAGTACTAGGTAAGTATTATTTGCGACCTATTTGTGTGTGTGTGTGTGTGTGTGTGTGTGTGTGTGTGTGTGTGTGTGTGTGTGTGTGTGCATGCGTGCGTGCGTGCGTGCGTGCGTGCGTGCGTGCGTGCGCGTGTGTGTGTGTGTGTGTGTGTGAAAAAAAGCGTATGAGAATACGTGAAGAGAAATAGAGGTTGAGTACTAATTCGCTTACCTGTACGAGGTTGCCACTCGAGGACCTTTCTTCCTATTTTTTATCTGTTTTCCAAGTTATATAGCTAGCCCATTGCCATTTCACTGTAATATTCCGTTGGGCTATGTCAGTTACTCTGGTTCTAATGCAAATATCTTCATTTCTAACTTTATCACGTAGAGAAACCCCTCTCCAATTAAAAATAGTTTGTCTAACATAAAAAAAAAACCATAAACCCAAGAATGTCTTTATATAGTTATTTATACTTAGGTAAGCACCATTCTTTTATTTATTTAAATTGTTTGATTTAATTTGATAAAAGTGTACCTAAATGTAAGTATCTGTGTCTTTATTGCCCTCCCCAATTATATTTTATAAAGTCATACTCATAAAAACAGCGTTTTATTGTAATACATATTTATAAAATTCAGTATCAACTAATTAATAAAAATATGCAACAATTAAATTACATAGGTATTTAAAACTATCGAAATCTAAGTAACGAGAGCATGTTCGTCGTTCCACATCTAAATTATATGAAAATGCATTTTTCAATTTCACTAATCAACGTCGCCGCCAAAATTTCTTCTTCTTTGGGCACTTTAAAAATGTATTTATTTAGAAAATAATATTTACAGTTACCAGTGTACATATAGTAACTAAATTAAGTATTTCTAGTCATAAAAATATTTATAATTGAGTATAAACCTTTAAAAAACTAATATATATTTGAACGAAGTCGCTCCAACACCGACGTGCGATCCACACTCGACGATGTCCGAAAACGGACTGTGACAGAGCTTACATGGCGACGGAGCATGCGCGCTCGCGTAAATATATTCAATTTTAGGGAAAATGATATATTCTCTTATAAAACGGGTAATAAAAATAAAACTCTCAATTAAAAATATTAATATTTTTAAGACCTTTCTTTTAGTGTAAGAACTATTTAAAAAGCTTGTGCCGTTTTGGAGAAATTTTGCAAAATATGACAAAGATTTTTGGGGATTTTTTTTCTAATAAGGGGTTGACAAAAATACAATTTTGTTAAATTAAAAAAAAAATACCAAATCTTCTTCTGTCATCCTGTATTTTTTCTTTGTAGATTAAATGAACAGTTATTGAGATTTTTTTACTTAAATATCCTAGATTTAGGCATTTCAACCACTGTTAAGGCCTTAAACTCGGTTAAATTTATTATACCAGTTAAGATTTAAAGTCTCCTGTTTAGTATTTACATCGACTATTAAAACGATATTTCTTTCCTATTTTTAATTTCAACCTTATATTAAGGAAAGTAAAATGTTATTGTAAATTTAATTGCCAAAAACCTAATTTAGAAATTGTTTTCCCAGCTGCTGAAAGAGCATGGGATAAAAGAATGAGAAAAAAATTGAAGAGGACGTTACGGCGAATGAATAATTTTAAAGGTAAATTACAAACCTCAATATTTGTGTTTTTTTTTAAAATAAATTATGAATTTGCTACTGAATATTATCTTAACCGATTTTTAATATTTTTTTTTATAATTAATTCATAACAATAGTGTAACTAAATGGTGAGAGAGGTAACTTTTATGACAAAAGTTTAAGGATCAGCACATAATTTTTATTGCATTTAACATTGCTGTCATTTGTAGCTTTAAGCGTTTTTATACAGTTCCTAATAATTTGATAGTTTTTATTGAATCTAATAATACAAATTTTCATCACGTCTGCTCACACTCAATCGTTAGTCAACATTAGATAGAATACATCACGATATAAGATTCTTGGATTTTTTCTATTCTTGGCAAATCTGTAGGGATTCAGAACGTCATTTGTGGAGGTTCTCAGTGTGCCACTCTATATTCTATCTAAAATGTTTAAAATTTTAAGTTTTACATTGTTATTGTTTTTCATATTTTCAATTCTTTGTGTATTTAAAGAAAATACTGTAGACTGTAGTGTTGTTTGCAAAACCAGGATTAAAGATTTATATGTTATAAATGTTTTAGAGAATACAAATAAATGCTTTGAAGTACTTTGGTATGCTTGTCCGTTGCTAAAAAACTTTAATCCCTATTATTGTTGGATGGAAACGATGTACCCTAAAGTGCCTTATATTTTTATGGCGAGGATTGCGAATAACAGTTTTATATTGGATGGAACTAACTAAAGTAATTCAAAGTATTTTAATGAAATTAAAGGAAACAATAATGCAAAAGAGTATAGTATCAGGAGAATCAAGCGATGTAACACGTTTGCTCATTAGTATTTGGACCGTAGGTTACGAAACCCCACCGACACCGAAGAGCGAGCCGTCGTCGCATGAAAGCTACAAAATACCTCCGCCTCGTCCTTGCGACTGTCATCCACAGTTTAAGTACAACCGATATCCTAAGGTAATGCCGACAACTACATTTACAAAAAGAATCATTTCTCTTATCATAACGATAGGTTATGATACACATTATTAGTTTTCTGCTGGTTGTTCTCACGACGTTCCCAACTGTAATGCCTTTTGAATACTGGTGGCACAATTTACTTGACCTTAAAAAGTGCTTAATTTTTTTTTTCTTTAATTTTGATTAACAATAATAAATAAGAGGACGACATTTTTTTCAAATGCATTTCAAATCAGTAACTAGGATCGAACTGGGTTTGCTCACGTAATATGAAATAATAGAACGAGTACTTAGCTACCACTGCATTTCTATTATCATCATCTTCATTATCGTCATCATTACTGGCCCCTGACGAGTCTATTTATATTTGTATAATTATATTATGTTGTTCTTAGTTTCCTGCTGTCTTAGTCAAGATTATCGAGGATATTCGTCTTGGCTTTGATAAACTATGAGTAACAGCATTGACTTTACTTGACTTTAGCACTGCATTCTCTTGTTAGCTATGTAAACTTCTCTTAATAAATCTGCTGAAGTGATATAACTCTAAAACCAGTTAGTATTCAGAGTTAGTTGTATGGTCGCAAGCAACAAACACGTTGCTTGCGACGAAACAATTACTGCCGACAATTGCCGATGTAATGCAATTTGTGCTTGTTTATTAAATTTTCACAAGTTCTATAATGCGTCTATTATCTTCTCGCTACCACTTGCATGTAGATGATCATTTGTGTAGGTCAAATGGATTTACCTTAAACTATAGAATAACAATATAGTCATATGACATAAAGTAAAGTAAGAAAGTAAAGTTACAGCTTATATAGGTCCCTCTCTTTGGCACAGGCATTCTCGCATGTTTGGGATGGTTTTAGGGCATTTAAGTGTCCACCGCGATGCCCCAATGCGTTTTGGCGGCCTTCACATGTTTTTGAAATATTTTTCTTTATTTCTCAGACATGCAGTTTACTTACTATGTTTTTCTACACCACCGAGCGCGTGGTTAAAATCTAGGCGTTACTTGTGACAATTTTTTATCTTGGGCTCTAGTAAGCGAGGTGAGTAAGAGCGCTTACGTCGGTCAAGTCTCTTGGTAGATTTGACGCTACGCTAAACATAACAACCGTGTAGTGGAGTTGTAAGAATATCTACTACCTTATATCATCCCGAGGGCGTCGTAAGAGATGACAGAGGGAAAATGAAACGGAGGATGGGCAACAGCATCTTTCTGATAACAACACTAAATAATAATAATACTGCGGTTGCCAGCTCGCTTACTAGGCTAGCTACTATGGAAAATTTCACCCTTGATACAATCTATGAAGGAGGCCTATGTTCAGTGATGGACTTTTATAGGCTGTAATGGATGGATGGATACATATAGCAACTAAAATTGCTCTTGCACAATCACTAATTTTACCTATTTTCGATTATGCTGATATGAACTGCCAATTCAATTTAAGAGTTATTAAACAAATTGAGCGCATTCAGAATCTTTGTATATGTTATTAATATTGTAAAATATGGCCATGTTTGCGAATTCCGCAAAAAAATTGTGTGGCTTCCGATCCGTCTTCGTAAGAATAATCACGTTCTTTCTCTTTTATTATACTGTGTTATATTCAATCTCACTACCCTTCCTTACCTTAAAAACTGGTTGGAGCTCCTATTTATTATCGCTCTCTTCGCTCTGATAACAATTCTTAAATATTACGTCCCATAATAGTTCCTGCTATTATAAATCTTCTCTATTGAACTTGTTTTGCTTTGGAACTCCTTGTCGCTTCATATTAGACCTGCGAAATGACTAACATATTAAAAAAAATTGCCTACACTTTGAAATTCGGGTGCGGCGTCTTAGATGGATTTTCCGCAATCAGCAGGTGGAATCAAGTGCAGATTAAGTTGGTATCTTAAGAGAAGGTTATGATGTTACACTCCTCTCGTCATAGAAGATAAAAGAAATATATTTTAAAATTATGTAAACCTTCTTTTGTTCTATTTCTCTAGACTTTCTTATTAGTCTAGTAATCATAAGCGCGTCTGTCGATTATGTGGTCTCGGGTTTGAATCCCGGGGTAGGCCAAAATCAATTACTGGGTTTTTTGTCAAGAAAATTCTCGGTAGCAACCCGGCGCTGTGTTTCACGCTTATGCCTAAAGCACGTAATACCACTAGTCCGGCACCTGATCCCTCTCCTGTCGTGCCGTATGATTTGACATTTCTAGTTATGATAATAGTACTAGTACTACAGAAAAGTTTATGTTCTACCCTCGGTACTAGTTTGCATTATATTACGGCAGCCGTAGTCATCTTCTTCAAGGGTAACAACAATTATCACGTCACTCAGTGTATGGAGTAAGCAAAACTATACGAAGTTTCATTTTATACTAATTTCCATTTTTTTTTCTAATTTTCTTAATTTTTAGGGTTCCGTATACCAAGGGTAGCCAACGGGCCCTATTACTAAGACTCTAGTGACCGTCCGTCCGTCCGTCCGTCTGTCCGTCTGACCGTCGGCGGGCTGTATCTCATAATCCATAATAGTTAGTTGAAATTTTCACAGAATGTGTATTTCTGTTGTCACTGACCTTTCTTGCCCTTACTAGAAACGTGTTTTTTGGCTTTTTTTTGTTCGATCTTAATAATGGCAACAAGTAGACGTTTGAAATGCTCACAGAGTTTGTATTTCTATATAAGGTAGAAAAATTATAATAGCGCCTCACTTATTTCTTTAACAAAAGTATTTAAAAATTACCTACATACATAGTATTAAATCTTGTACGATGGAACGGAACCCTTCATGCGCGAGTCCGACTCGCACTTGGCCGGTTTTATTTTAATTAATTCTGGGTGGAATTGCTAAATTCTACACGGAACGACAAACACTTACAGTCAAACAAGAAAGTGACTTAATAAAAACGTAGTAAAATGAATAATATTTTAATACACATTTTTATCTTTCTTATTTTCTTCAGGACCGCTTTGGAATTTATTTGCCACGCGAAACACAATACTGTGATAAAAACGTGACCGTCACGCCTGCGATTTCGACGGAGAGCCTCAGTGAAGAAACTGCTGACGATAAAGTGGACTTAAAATCGATAATTAGCAAAAAGTCCGCTGCGTCTTCAAAAAGCGCAGTAAGCAAGAAATGTGTCTTCACAGTGGAGAATAAAATATAAAGAGAAACGAAATGAAAGTAGAAAGCATTAACTCAAAATCATTACCTTAATGGTGCTATTGAACGTTGAAATAAAAATTCTACTATGTACTGTGTATATTTTTCGTACTTTGATACTTTGATTTTATAAATAATGAAGTCGACCGCATTCAATAGCTGTTTTTACTTAAACAAGATATTTCCTCATTGTGTTAAACTAGAAATTAATTTATAATATGAAATGGTTTTAATGACCACTTTAATCATTTGAAATTTGATTAATGATAACAAACTTTTGTGATGAATATAAGATGGAATAAAAGCTCTTTGAGTGCTATCTTCCTACAAAGGAAATAAACCTTCCAATATTTCATTAAATACAAGACGGCGTCAAGTCTCCGCAGGAAATCGAATCTAGTAAGAAGATTTCTTCTGGCACCTTGAAGAGTAAATTAAATATTGCGTTACTTTTATTACTTTTACAATTTTCAACTACTTTTATAATTGATTTTCAGATTTAATACGCTATAACACACTGCATTGGCATTAACGCGCCAAAACGTGCGATAAGTATTTCACTTTGTCTTGCTAATAAAGTGTGTCAATATCTATTAAAACTTTGTTTTGCTTGAATTACAATCCTCTTTATAGTCAGGAGATGGTTCATTGCTTGACATAGGTTATGGCAAGAAGAATTTGCCATTAGTGCCACGCTGTACAAACGGATTAGTGATCGCAGTGCATTTTAAATTATTATAATGAAATTAAACTTGGTTCGTATGCAAAATAATTGTTTTTGTTACTTTTTCACTGCTTCGTTGGTGTAGTGATCGTAAACGCGACTGCTGATCATGAAGTTGCGGGTTCGAATCCGAGGCGAAAATCTTGAAATGTTATTGGGTTTTCCTGTCAAGACATTCTCAGAAGAGCTAAGAACCCGGAGCTAAAAAGTTGGCGGTGTTTCACCCCCGTACCTCGGAGAGCACGTCCTTGGCCTGGTCTTTCTCCGGTCGTGTCGATTTACCGTTCCATCGAAGTATGAGAGTGAGGAAATATACACTATAATGTTCTAGTTCCAACCAAGAGTAACAGCTGTAACGAACATCGTTTAAACTTACTGTAAGTGTAATTCTTGTTATACCTTTAACATTTTAAGATTTACCTATTAAATAAGTATTGTTTTGGATTTCATTTTGAATTATTTACATGATAATGTAATTTGAGATCTATAAATAAACCCATACATCTAGTCATTTGCTTACTCTGTTTCTTTGGTTTTCTTTCTTTGTTTTCTTTTGCTATTTACACTTAATAGTAAAAAGAATACACGCAACGCCAAAACGCGCCAATTGGAGAACCAATTTCAAATGGCGCTTCAAGAACTTAAGGCGTCAAAGGAGCAGTGTGAGCTGTTATGTAAAGAAAGGGTTGAAAATGGAAAGGAAATAATAAATATAATAGCTAAAAATACTAAACTAAAAAGTGACATGGTTAAGTTGCATACAGAATATACATTTGTTTCAAAAGAAAGGGATCAACTTCAAAGAACACTCGATGAGTTTGACCAATGCAGCAAGGAATATGAGGAATCCCTCAGATTAATTGCTGCATTGCAGTTACAGTTAAGTGAGGCTAATGAGCAGGTTGTGCAATTAAAACATTACATAGACAACATGAAAGCGTCCCAAACTCAAAGTCTGTTCAACGAGCTCATAGAATGTGAATCTTCTAAAGCAATGCAACCCTCCACAACAATTGATTTGACAGGTGATGATTATGTCACGTCAAGAACAGCAACAAGGACTACCTGCAGTAGAAGAAAATTAAAGAAATATATAAAAATTAATTAATATATTAGAAAACTGCAAAGATTAATTAAAACCAAAATTAATGTTAAAAATTATATTAATGTATGCAAAGAAAAGCAAGAATTAATTAATAAACTTAAAATATATTCAATTGAGGTGGAAAATATAAATCACTGTTATGAGACTGATATAGAGTGTCTAAATTCAACAATTTTATCCCTTAAAAACTCCCTACAAATTTTATCAAATAAATATGCATCGGCTCAAGATGAGATAAAAGAACACATATTGGCCAAGAATGATCTGGTAAAATCATGTAAATATAATGAGGAGCGCTTTGACTCCTTACTAAATCATCAGAGTGAGTATCAGCGCTCCATACCAGGTTCATCGGGGACAATATGTGTAAATAACAAAGTAAACAGTAAGGACTCATTATTTTCACCTACACTCTATGACAGTGCCATGACAAAGGATAAAAACTTAAAAAGGAATGTAAATAGTAAAAAAAAAATAAAGTTATTATGTATTGTGATGACATAGGCAAAAATGTGGGCATGATGTTAAATAACTGTTTAAAAGGACATATGATCACTAATTATTGCATGCCAGGAGCAACCTTTAGTCATATAATGAATAAAATTTTAGCTAGTAAATTTTGCCCTAATAGCACATTAATAATTCTTGTTGGGAGAAGAGGCAATGTAAACAAAAATCAATTATTAAAATATATTGATAATCTAAATACTTTAAATGTACATAAAATTATCTTGTTTACATTGCCTTACATACAGTGTTGGTCGCAGGAAAATTAAATAAGATATGATTTAAATTTATTAATGAATAACTTTTCATGTAATAATAATTTATACTTGACATTTAATTGTTATAATTATAATAATAAATTCAATTTAATAGACATAAATAATTTAATTAAGAAATGTTTGACTAGAGATAGGTACTATCGAAATATATTTTAAGACAGATAGCAAATGTGCTATCTTATTGTTTATATATTAACTAAGCCAAGGACCATGCTACACAGACATCTGCTCCTTTTGAGCAGTATAATGACTTAATAGTTAATTTGGAATCAGTTCCAAGTAATTTAAATTAGAAAATGAGACAATAGAGGTAATCTCTAGCAGTTGTAATAATTTAAATAATTTAGAATGTAGCTTACAAATCTTTAATTGTATGACTCCACAGAGTGATAATGAAAATTGTTTACACCTGGTGCATCAAAATATACAAGGCATGATAGGCAAAGAGCTAGAAATTGAGTTGTTCTTAAATAGCAACAATATTCATATATTATGTATTACTGAACTTTGGTTAAAACCTTATAACTTAATTTTTAACTTCAGTAATCACCGGGTGGTAAGTTCTTTCAATAGAGAAACGGTTTTAAGAGGTGGCTCCTTAATATTAGCTAGTAAATTATGGTCATGTAAAGAACGTAAAGATATTGCGAGCCTCTCTGTTGAGCGAACTGTAGAAATGGCATGTGTTGAGTTTGAGCACCTCATTGTTGTGAGCGTCTACTGAGACCCCCATGTTCTATATACGATACTTTTGAAAAAATTATGGAGAAAGTTTTTGCTAATCTTAATAAACAGAATAAATCTGTTGTAATATGTGGAGACTTTAATATCAATCTCCTAGAAGCTTCCTCAATCAATATTAAATTTAGATCATTGTTTAAATCATATGGTCTTTTTAATTTATTTTTAGAGCCAACGCGCATTGCTCAATCTAGTGCAACATGTACAGATAACATTTTTACAAATGTGAAGCCGTTGCATAAATGTAAAATTCAAAAATTAAGTTCTGATCACTGTGGACAAGTAGTTTCGTTACCTTATGTTCACAAAAAGCAAGTAGATGAGAAAGTTGTGTTTGTTCCAGTAAATGCACGTCGCTTGGAGAAATTTAGAAGTAACATAGGCAAAAAACTTCCATCACTTTCATACCAAAATGATCCTAATTTTTTGTATGGAACATTATTTAAGCTTATTTGCTATTGCTATAATTTAATAATACTTTTACTTCTAAAACATTCTCCTTGAACAGTCGGAAGTCATTTAATGAATGGGCGATAGTAGGAGTCCATAAGAGCAGACATAGGTTATATGATATTTACCATGAAAGGTCATATAATCATACGAGTAGCGTCGAATTTAGAGCCGTAGCCGTAAAAAAGATTAGGAGTCTAACTAGTGTTGAAACAGCTAGACTAGTTTACTTTAGCTGTTTCCATAGCATAATGTCGTATGGTATTTGCTATGGGGACACGCAGCTGACACTGAAATTATATTTGTTTTACAGAAGAGGGCCATAAGAGCAATTTATGATTTAAAGCCTAAAGAGTCGCTGCGATAAAAAATTTAATGAAATTAATATATTAACTTTGGTCTCTCAATAAATTTATGAAAATGTAATGTACGTACACAAAAATAAAAATAGTTTTACAAAAATAAGTGATAATCATTCTGTAAATACTAGGAACAGACACAAGCTAGTAGTACCAGTTACTCGACTCCATCGAGTCAGTAATTCATTTTTGGGGCGATGTATATGCTTTTACAACAAAATTCCAGAAAATATACAAAATTTGACCTGCTCAAAGTTCAAAAACTTTATTAAACTAAGTTTCTATAAAAAGGATTATTATAATATTAAAGAATTTATAGATGATAATAACCCCTGGAAATGAGGTGATCGCTACCAAGCTATTTCTAATTTGTTGTGTTGTAACATACATGATTGTAAGCTGTTATTTAAAAAAAGTCCTGCTGGGTTTCTTGCTGGTTCTTCCCAGGACAGAGGTTTTTTTTTTCCAACCAGTGGTAATTATACAAAAGAGTGACTTTCAATAAGTATTATTTATAATCTTTATTGAATAAAAAAGTTTCTGTTTCTGTTTCTCTGTTTCAATGCCTGCGCAGATGTGTGTTTATGTAATTTCGGTCACAAATTCGGTCTGGAGAACATTAGTAATTGTTTTGGAATATAACAACTAATAGCATATGAAATGGTAATACAATTTTTTATCTTAAGATTTTGAGATTACTGGACCAGAAGATGTGCCATAATTATCCAATGATTGTTGTATCATTTACAATCTTAATGGCTACCAGCTTAGAATCTAGAATAAAATGCATAATTAAGACTGTAGTCCTTGAGCGTGGGAACTTCTAATAGAACACCTACA